TCTAAAGGCAGAACTTTTGCCCTTATCACTCGTGGTCATAAGGCGCATAAACACAGTATAATGCAGTGTGGTGTTGCTACTAGATAGGCTCTCAATAGGCTGATTGGTTGAGATATTCCACCAAATCGGTGTCACTAGTGGCCCATGCAGCACTGTGCTCACACTGCTACAGCACAGCCCTGGTCAGCATGCCTGTCTTGGCCACTGGCAGCAGAACTTCATCAGTGATTGCTCTGCCTATGTCGCTCTGTGCCACAGCGACAAAACAGCGTGCATAGCTAATGTCTGTGCCTCTGCTTTCTTGTACCTACATGTTTTGACATGATTTATGCTGTATGCCCCTGGTTTCTATTGCTTCTATACCCATTTTTAGAAGAGCAAATATTCTGGCATGCTAAACACTCCAGCATAACTTCTGGGACAAACTGTGAAAATTACAGATACTCTTGAGGAGAGAAAGATAGGGTATTGCTGAAGCTTTGGACATACAGCATCCATTTATTTGTCCTTTAGAGAGTGTAGGTTGGTTATGGATTTTGGGGTATTTTTTCTTTACTTTGTTGTTTTTTGAGGGATCGGGACTTTTAATAGGTCTGGGAGAACGCTGTTAGAAACTTTCATTTATAAAATAATGGTCTTGCTAGAAACTTTTCCTTATAATGATGTTGTTGGCTTTATAATGTAGTTGTAGCCTTGAGTCACTAATATGTTTTGCAAATGTATGTGGTGAATTATACAGCAGCTTTCAAAAAAAAAAAAAAAAAAAGAGGAAAATGAAATCAGAAAATACATGCTAATAAGCAAAAACATGTTTCAAGATGAAAATATGTACTTAGCTGAAAATAAAACAGTGCCTGAGTTGACTTGCAACTCAGGGTGTAACCCTCATAAGGGATTGATTTGTTTTTCTTATCCTTCAGTGTTGTGACAGTGATTTATTTTGCCATCATTTTTCCTTCTTTATGACTGTCTCATAGCCCTTGTATTCTCTTAAGGAAAAAATTATGCAGCTGAACAGCAGGCTTATTTAGATCAGGAAATATGATTTCCTCAAAAAATATCTTCATATGTATGAATAGATGTACAAAAGTGTATGATCAACATTTCTGTTCTTTTTGTTTGTTTGTTTCAATAATCTAAAGTGTATTAATATGTATTTATGGAGAATATTAAGATAAATTATTAAGACATATATTAGCATTATGGCTGTGGTTTTTAGCTTCAACGAGAAAACCATTATTCCTTTCATAATGATCCTACATTTAACTGGTTTTCATGGACTTGGAAACAATTTTAATATGGTTTTCTTTGCTAGAAGACTTACAGTATCCCTTATCTTATAGAAAACAATCTGAGTCTACAGAAAGTTCCTCTCCTAATTTTCTGTAGCTAAACTCTGTCTTCATCTGTTGTAACAGTGGGCAGACAAGCCAGCTCTGTTGTTTTATTTTCATCTGCTCTATAATTTATACCATCAGACTGCTGCATTCTCAGATCTGACCCCAGGGACATCAGCTGCAAGATCTTTACATCATTGGCAACATCCTCTATGTCTCTAGGACTACCCTAATGCTACAAATCACAGGATCACAGAACAGTAGGGGTTGGAAGGGGCCTCTGGACACCATCTAGTCCAACTCCCCTGCTACAGCAGGTTCCCAACATATGTTGCACTGATATCACATATCTGTGCCAACTGTCTATATAAGAATCAGCTGTACTTTAGCTTTGCTTCAATCTAGATAACAAAATCATCTTTTCCCAAGGAATGAAGAAATCACAGTCCTTCTCTGTGCCTGGGACACGAGAGGGCTGCTGGAATGCTGGAGTCAGCTTTTCATTCCATGAGAGTGAATAGCACCAGACCTCCAGAGATTTCTTAGCTGACCTTCAAAACAAGAAGTCTAGCTTCCAGCAAACTTAAAGTAAACATATTTCTCTAGAGATTAGGATCAAAGCACAAGAAAAACATTCTACTTAACTACGTGGTGCTTGTAACATTATTTATTTATTGGAGCAAGGATAAGAGAAGCTGGGGGAGATGAGATTTTTTTTTTCATTGTCCAAGGGTAAAAGTAGCGAGCAGAGATTACCCAGAACTTTGCCAAAGGATTTGCAAAAATAATCACTCTTTCTCATGCCATCTCTGCTTCATATCCAAACATGGTCCTATTTCATCATGGTCAAACTCTGAAGAATTTTTCTGAAGAAATCTTTTCTGGACTTGAGTGCTTTACCAGAGGATCAGCCTGATCATACCTCAGTTCTTGGTTATGGTCTTGGGGATACTCTTTTAACGTTCTCCAGTAACCACTGTGATACATAAAGCAACATTATTAGGACTTTGTTCCCATATCCGTATATGCTTTATGGAGGATAGCTACACTACAGATTCAGAAATGCTTAGGTATTAGAAAACCATATCTTGTACAAGCACATAATCTACGCTTCCTGGAATAGATTGGCCTGCGGAAAAAAAATCAAGAGAACAACTTTTTGAACAAAATTGTTCAGCTTGCATACTTTTTAATAATGTGAAATCCTATTGCCATTCATCAGAATGAAAAAACAGAGATGTATCTGTAAATATATGAAATTACTTGTTGATAAGCTTTGTGGGGAAAAAAAACAGAAGACTGTAAGCAACAGATAAGTTCTTCATACATGCTCTGTTAGGATTTTGCTGTTATCACTTCTAGGCTGAGATGGAACTCTGTTAGGAAGCTGAGGTACTGATTCAGCAGAGAGGAAGGTGGAAAGGTAGCATAGTGAGGGTAATCCTCAGGGGCAGATCACAACATTAATTCCCATAAGAAAAAGGAGTTAAAGTTATTCTGAAATCCACTTTCAAGCCTGTCCTTCAACTTTCAACACAGAGCCCAGCTAGCCACAGGCATTTCTTCTCTACTGCCTCTGTAAACACCAATTTAGAAGAATTCTCCAATATAGAAATGAGCAAAACGTAACCATGATTCTAGTGACAGCTAAGTGATCATGCACTGAATTACTGTATAGTGCCTGGTTTTTATAGTTGAGCTGATGCATGTTTGTTTTCTCTTATAAGCTGGTTAATTCTTTGCACACTCAAAGCTCTGTTTGATCTTAAGGAAATGGGACTCCATATCCAAGTTCTCTTATACTATCATCCCAAGGATATCACAGAAAATCTATCTGTAATATTTTTAAGCAAGCACATATCTAAGCAAGCACTGATTTGAGTTGCAGATAATTTGACTTCCTTACCGTACCGTGTCTAGGTTAGCTCTAAGATTTAGGGCAGTCAAAAAAACAATAAATCAATTCAGCTCCAAAGATTTTCAGCTTACAGGAACAACAAGTTTTTCATAGCTTGTGCCAAATGAACAAATCATTACTTTTGCATTATAGCTTTCCTCCCTGACACTTTTTCATAGTTTTACTGCAGCCCCTCCAGAAATAGGTTAATAAATTCCTTGACTTGTGCATTAGTACCAGTAGAGACCTCCAGTAACTGAACACCTCATGGTTCGAATTATCATTTTGGAAAACAGCTAAGCAGAAATGTAGAAGTTAAATGCTTTTTCAAAGCTGAACCATGGGTATAAAACATCCAGTGAATGTATAAAACCAATGAGCAACTTACCCTAAATGGACTAGAAATAAGCTGTGTGGTGCTAAGTGCTCCTGGTTTTAGTTAATATGCTTCTCTTCCTTTGCAGCTGGTTAAGATAAACTTGCACCATTATTCAGTGTGCAAAGACTTCCGCTGCCCGAAGTCACTGATGTGTTAGGAGACCTTCCCCAATTGTTCCCAGGTCCTTGAAAATTTATGATTGCTGGCTGATTGCTCTGATTGCAGTGACACTTGCTGATGACTTTAATGAAAATTGTAATCCAGTGAGTCTGGCAGATGTTTCTGGGTTTGCTTCACTGAGAACTTTCTGGTTTCTTCTTCCTTCATTCCCAGGAATCTAGAGCCAATTTTAGCAAAGTGCTGATGATCCAACCAGCAACAAAATAACTGAAATAAGTAAGTCTTCATCTCTACAATCCTCAAAACAGTCAACACTGCAGATCTATAAGCTGCTGAAATTAGGATGCTTATCCAAGCCTCTTTAGCCTGGAAAAATGAAGGATGAGAAACTCATACAATTGGCTCTCAGTAGATCTGTGATATTTCCTTCACTTATCTGGCACAGAAATATTATCTATCTCACAGTATTTTGGCTCTTCCAACTGTGAACCTGGCAATACATAAACATGTAAGAAAAAGTAATCTTTTCCAATAAAAACAAGAGGAATTTTCTTGAAGTTACAATTTTATTTGGATTTTAGTTTGTTTATTTATATTTTGCTCTTTGTTACCTGGGGGTGTTTACACTACTCTACATACACTGCCAAAAAATGTTAGCAGGAAGCTGGATCACGCAAAAAAAAAAAAAATCTGTGAAGCTTGGAGTTCACTGTCTTCCTTCTGCTTGTAGAGATGTGGCTGTTTTCAAAATAAAGGGATGAACAGAACGAAAAGAAAGGCAAAGAAGAGCCCAGAAAACACCACAACGAGCTTGCCTCTTCTATATGGCCTTTTAGCCCCAGAGTTGGATTAATTTTTGAACTTACTTAAAAATTATTTATCTTATTTATCCTTCCATTCCCTAATTTCTGGATACACTGTACTTCACAATCCAGTACTTAGTGCTTATAAAGGCAGTAGTTGCATATACAGAACAACTGTGAAGGCACGTTCTTTTTCAGGTACCTGTCCTGTCAACGTAAATAGCATTCAAGTAAGCCAAAGCAACTTTCTTGCTCTGCATTATTTAGGTGACACAATACATCATTACAAATCATTAAAGACCACTGTTTTATTATGGAACAACTCAGCACTAGAAATCCAGAGCAAAGGACTAAAAAACACCCATCCTAACTTTCATAGGTAATCACAATTTCTTATTCTCTGGGCAAGAAAACTGTTATCCATTCAATTACATGATTTTTCCATCTTTCCAAACCACCTGGAGAACTCCACCAGAATGACCAGCAATCACTCAGAGTGCCATTACTGCCTGCAGTCTCTCCGTGGAAGGAAATATGCATTAAGGGAAGAAAATGCTTATTGTGTTAGATGCTACGACAGCCTATTTGCCAACCCCTGTGAGGAGTGCAAGCAACCTATTGAATGCGATTCCAAGGTAAGGATTTAACTTTCTTGTTCTTTGTTAAGTTATCCCCATTTCTTTAATGATTGATTCTATATCAGACTTCTGTGTAGTCCTGAGCTGGTGAAGGAACCTGAGCATAGTGGTTGTGCATCTGTACAGCAGAGCTATTTTTCCAGAACTGGGAAATCCAGATGAGAAAATCTGCTTGTACATGCACCTCAAGTATCTTCTATGTGGTATATGCATGGACCATATCTGGATTCCATCCTTCACCTTCGCTAGTTCATCAGCAGCAGAAGCTGACCAGTGCTTGAGGGAATTTGGGGTACTGATATAGTTCAGTGTATTTGGATGAGGGAACATCTGGAATTTCTGAGAGATTGCCATTGGAAAAATTGTCTTCAGCTATTCTGCAAATTACTTCAACTGCAAATGCTGACATACAGACATCAAGATGATTTATAATTCATATTTTTTGTACTACTTTTGGAAATTAGGTATATTTTCATTTTAACTTTCATGCTCACCTTGTTTGTCTCTCAGATGAAATGTGACCGGCAGTGTTTCTGGGCTTGGCTATCCATTTTCTTCTACTCTTTTTAATAATAAGTAATAATAACATGAATTCCTCTGTGATCTTTGACAGGTTTTCCAGCACCCTTAGCTCAATTTACAGCCCTTTACACTTACAATTTTAAAAGAAGATGAAAGCTGTCAAAAACCTCTTGTTTTTCTGAGTTCAGTTTGTACTGATCACCTTCTCCCATGCTCATTTTGCTTATGTTCTTTTGAAATAAAAGAACCTACTGAATCCCACCAGGAGACCATGTCCCTTGGTGCCACAGTGAGTGCTAGATCATAAAGTTATTAAAGTAAATCTCTCAGGAGATCTCTCTCCAGCCAATATAATTTTGGTTTTCAAAGTATATTGTATGAGCACAGCTCAGTTCCACGAAGGAGTAGTCAAAGAAAAACACTGATATGGATGCTAACTGTTCTCAAATGCTCACCAGTGTTTTTCAGTTGCAAACTTGTATGCTCCAGTCACTGTCACCTGGAGAACACGTGCTCTGAGCTCACTAACCCCACTTTTACGATTTAAACTTTCTAAGTGGCAGGACTAACAATATAAAAGGTCACTAAAAAAAATCTTGTCTTCAGACAGAGTGGAAAGAAAAATAGAGACAGAAAAGCAGGGATAATAAGACAGGAGTGTCACAGCTAAAGAAGTGACCCACAGAGGTCTACAGCAGGTTGTCCAACCTCTGTGAAGCTGCTAGAGCTTGGCTCTCTTCCTCTCCTTCTTATCCATTTCTTGGCTTTTGTGTGAGAGACCATTTTCTAAAAGGTTCAGAGTGCTAACTAAAGGAAATGAAAGTTCTCAACACTCAGCAATGCCCAAATGAACCCTGGTATGTATTTCATTTCTCATGTTAGCATTTAAAGTGGTGGGGAACTGACAAAGTAGAAAAATGAGATTGGCTTTGTGCCTTTTGGTGCTTCTTACCTATAAAGAAGATCTGGAAAGGCCTGGTTAATTTTTTAAGGATTATTATTTTTCTGGTGATACATTTTTCCCTTGTATTTTCTAACCTTGGAAAAAAAAAATTGATGCTTTCTTTTTTTATTGTTGTTTAATTATTAGTGGAGGCCACATACGTATACTGCTAGCTGTTTCATCTCTTAAGCCTGCTGAGTCTTAAACAAATATATTTCTGCCAGTTCTTTTAGAGGGAGTTATATTAGGTGTAAACAAAAGCAATGATTTTTTAATACACGTCCCAAGAACCATTTTGTTCTCAATTAATGAGATTTTAATTGCTTGTTCTCTTCAATAATACGTTCTTTCTTTAGTGTTATGTAGAGTCAGCTGGAAGGAAAAGTAGTAATGTTAAAAAATACATGAAGTTCTACTTAAAAGTCCGTAGAGAATATGCTTCTTGTCAGGAGGCCTCTGCACATTTAAAATGTTAATTACCTGCTTCTCCTTGAAGGCCAACAGTAAAAATAGATGCTGGGTCTTCCAATGTAAACATCTCTCTGATGTTGTGTGCTGAGGGACAATTGCCTCAATTGCCTGTGCCAAAGCAATTCCTACTGGCCTAGCAAGAGTTGCAAAATACCCTGACACACTGCCTTTGAGCACTAATACTGCCTTTGAGCACACCTGCTGGATGCAACTCTTCGAGTTGCCATTGCAGTGCTCTGCATTTTTCTCTTCAGTTCTGGGAGGAGATGAGGGAAAAGAACACTGTAAAGAAATGCCTTTATTAACATGCACTTACTTTCTCCAAGGATCTGGCTTACAAAGGCCGCCACTGGCATGAGAGGTGCTTCAAGTGCACCAAATGCAGCCGCTCTCTGGTAGAGAAACCATTTGCTGCCAAGGATGAGCTCTTGCTCTGTACTGAATGCTACTCCAATGAGTATTCATCAAAGTGTTTCCACTGCCAGAAGACCATTATGCCTGGTAAGACAACAGGGATCCTCCTGTGGAATATGGAACTGCATTTTCAATTAAAATCACATCCTCAAATAGCCTAGCTACAACTGTGCAGCTTGCAGGACTGCCACTCCCTCCTGCAGTACCCTGCCAGCAGCAAAGATAGGCAAGGCAGGCCCTCTGGTCTAGCACTGGCAGGACTTATGAATCCTTATAAAGGATATTAGAGTTCCAAACAGAATAAAATGTACTCATGCTGTGCCCTTGATTCTGCCTGCAGCCCGTAGGAAGTGCATCCCACTGTGAGTATAGGTGGACAAACAGCTATCATCAGCAGGTGTGCTGAGCTAGACAAAAGATCTGTGTTTTGTCTGTCACGTTGGCAAGGCCTTGAGAACCAGAACTATCTCACATTCTTTATAAACCACTTCTTTTACACAGAAACACTTTTTACTTCAGTTGTCAAAACATAAAGTTCTGTGTTCAAATAATTAGCAGTATTTTTACTACAGAACACATACAGATTTGTTTACAGCAGGTTTGGCAAAGTGTAAGTGCCAAAATGCAGTAGCTTGCCAAGGAGAGTGGGTCCCAAACTATTGGAGCAGCGGACTACCCTAAATCCTTAAGCCTTTTTACAGATGATTCACATAGCTCCAAATACAAGCAGCAAACTGTATGCTGTGGTCCTATGATTACTAGTTTGGGCCATGAAGAATTATTGTCTTTATATAAATACTAGGTTACTGATATCCTGGTTCAGCCTGTAGCATTGATACAACTATGTACTTTTACACTTGTATTTCTTTTTCTTCTTCATCACAGGTATAATTTATATTAGTGGAAATAAATGTTGTAGTAATATAGTTGTGTTCAGTGTAGGGGTGATGTACTGCTTAAATGTGGTATATTTTTAGAAGAATGTTGTCTAATAGAGACACACCTTGTTAGATGTGACCGGAATAACATCAGAGTATAGAGGGTTTTTGTTTGGTCTGTTGTGGTTTTTTTTACATTATTGTCCTCTGGCGTATATCCTCCTTGCAGGTTTTGTTCCAGAGTCTAGGAGACTAAATCCTCTCAGCAAGTGTTCAGTACAAGAATCAGAGGGCAAACAAAGAGCTGAAGAGATGCTAACCAGTTTCTTCTTCCTTAGCCACTGACTCTTTGGCTTGCTAGGTCTGTGTTGAAAATACTCTGTAGGCAAAGACAGTACATTTAGCCTTCAGTTTGCTAGGAGGCAGCTGCAAACTCTTTATGCTGGAATTCAAACAGTAGGTTCTCTTTCCTTTAAACCTACATCTAGGAAACAAGTTATCCAGGAATAATCATTTATAGCAGTAATTCTTTTCTTCCTGTGGAAAGGATGGTAAAAGCACCTGGCATCCCTCTGCTCAGGCTGATGCCACTGTCAGGGGTGGAAGCCGCAGTGGAGAATCAGTCTCACACATATATGTTTATCTTAGGCTTAACAAATATGTGTTAAGGAATGCAGTGCACCTGCACAAAATTTAACAGCTTCTCTAGTAGACATTTAATAGAGAGACTTTCTTTTGGGATTGCATCTGTCCTTGCACTGAATCAAAGCAACTGGCTGAATATGATTTTTTTAAAAAAGAGCCACTGGACTAGGATGAAAATGATGAGTTTTCAGAAGAGACGTGGTAGTTTATCATAGCGATACTAATATCGCTATGATAAAAAATTCCAGCTCAGGCTGGATAAGATAAATAGTGCAATTATAAGTGAAAGAAACTTAGTTTAAAGAAGATAAAATACATTAATATTTATACTAAAGATCCAAGCAAATTCACATTTAATTTACAGAAGTGCTGTGTACCTAAACATCATATCATCACTGAGTGGTCTGAGAGAAACTCTGATCAACTGGAGTGTATAACCGAGGAGTGACTCTAAAAGAGTCAAATAAATAGAGAATAAAAATCACATTTTAGGCCAGTTAGCATGTCCTTTGCCTCGTGATTATAGAGTACTGAATGTGTTCTTGAGATTAGCTACGTACTTGAAAACATGGGGGATAATAAAATACTATGACAGAAAATGAAAAATGAGACATTTGAAACCTTTGTGGCAAGACTGTACCTGGGAGCATAATTTGTGTTGATTTTTGCAGGTTCCCGTAAAATGGAATTTAAGGGCAGTTCCTGGCATGAATCCTGTTTTGTTTGTCAGTATTGCCAGCAACCACTGGGAACAAAACCACTGATCACCAAAGACAATGAGAATTACTGCGTACCCTGTTTTGAGAAACAATTTGCTCATCATTGCTACTCTTGCAAAAAGGTAACTGCAATAGAAAAATGAAAGCATTGCAGTGTGCTACCATGTTAGTTTTGGTCAAGATCAGATTGTCCAACAGCAGAAGTACACCAACAAAGACTCTTTCCGCAATCTATAATGTGCAGGTTTAAAACAACCTCTGCAAATTCATAGTTCCATTCTCATCTGGAGGTCTGAAATCTAGACCAGCATCACACAATGGGTAAAAAAGAAAATATCATCAGAACATGTAAATTCTTACATTAGCTCTTTTCAAATATTCTGTAAAAGGGCTGAAGATAGAAAAAAAAAGGGGGCAGGGAGTTATCTGTGGGAGTTCTTGAAGACAAGTTGCACATCTAACTGAAAGTTCAGACTGCATGCTTAACAAGCTTTAACAGAGTAAGAACATAGCTTTCTACCCCTTTACTTACCATTTTGTCAACATTGTATATTTTTAGTGCTTTACACTGAGCCAAACAGAAAAAGCAGGGAAAACGATCTTGAAATCAACAGAGCCTCTTATCAACTACAACTGCTTGTAATTGGTTTTAGCTCCTTTTCAGGAGCACCTGGGGGCTGTATTGTCTGTCTAGTGGATATTCATACGACATGTTTTAAAGTATTTAACGTTGATGCTCCAATTAGAAGCCTGTAGTCTTTTTCATCAATAGAGCTCTCAAGGCATTTAGGAGAGAATCTAGGAGAATATAATGAACTGAAGCTCCCCTGTCTGATTCCTGAGTTGTACGGATGAAGTATGAAAGCTTTAATAATTCCTTTTCTGTTTCAGTTCTTTAACAATAGAATGGAAATATCAGTTAGTTTTCCTTATTCATGGAAATGTTGGGTGTATTTACGGGGATAAATACATCAGAAATTGTGGTGTGTCTGCGTAGCTCTGTAACACAAGTCCTTGCAATAGTTTAGGTAATCAACAGAAAAGAGATGTGCATTAGTAGCAAAAATGATATATCTGTAGTTAGTGACTTTTTGGTTCTGTGCTACTGTATTTCTAGGCAATGGCTGCCTCTGTAGAAGCCATTAACTCTTTTCCTGAGAGCAAACTTATATCAAGATGCATAAATATTGATATATTAACACTGGAGAAACAGAATACGACAAGGGTGTCACACCTCACACCATCTAACTTCAGATCTCAAAGAAAGATACCTATGCTCCTTAGTGAAGCAATATTGCTCATGGGGACAGAGCAGCATTATGCAAAATGTTTGGTGAGCTGATAGGACAAGTCGAGTCCTCCTTCTGGCATTGATATTGGATGCTGAAAGCTGGCTGCGACAGTGTTTGTTGTCCCCTTGTGCATAATTGATAATAATAAACAGGTTGATATAAACTTGTTTAGATTTGCAATAAATTTATTCACCAAAACAAATACATTGGGATTATTTTGTTATTTTGTTAAAGGTTGTGATTTTTAACAAAGGTTGATGTTTTACTGAAAGTTGTATAACACCTTTCTTACCCAATAATGTCTGATCTTGCCTTAATGAACATGCCTCTCTTTATATTTGTCAGATATATTTGCATGCATAATGAGCCACCTAAGCTGAGAAAAGCATTCAGTCCTACCTCTTTGTCTCTTGAAATGTATCAAGCAATAACCAGTTTAAGTACTATTTAGTTATGGTAACACAAGTCAAGTTTCCCAATATTTTAGAACGCAAAGTTTCTCTTTCTTCTTCCAAATATATCAATTCATCTCTCCTTCAATTTCTTGTGTTTTAAAGTTGTCTCAAGTTGATGAAAACACCCACTAATCTGATTCTATTCTCTAGGGAATTGATTTAAGCTGCTTATTATGACAGAATTTTGTTTATTCTTTAGTGTCCATGGTTGGAAAAAAAAAAAAAAAAAAAAAAGAAAAGAAAAGAAAAAAAAAGATTTATTTCTCTTCATCAAATTACTTATTTCCAAATTTTTACAATGTTAAGCTGTAAACATCTTCCTCTAACAAAAGTTTTTAATTTAAGCAAACTTGCTTAAATTTTTAACTTGCTGCCTCTTGTTTGTTTATTGTTTGCTTTTTGTTGTTTGTTTGTTGTTTTTTTTCCTTTGTTAGTTAAACTCTAGAAAGTGTGTCTAAATATTCCTATGTTGCTGTATTTAGGCATTAATTTGCATTAAATGATCACATGACAAATATAGTAATTCTTATCCAAGTTTATTAGAGAAATTGAGGTTAGCAATATTTGCATGAAAGAAATCAGGATTTGCTTCTTAAGAAATCTAGGAATGCAAACAGACAACATGCATGCTAGCTAAAATAACTTTACTGTATGAAATTGCATCTGTCCCATAAACAAGAACTGAGATCAAAGAGATTGAATTGCCAAACTGAAATCCTGAATTTTGTGCCAGAAAAAGATGATTTGAGATTTTGAGATTTTTACAGAAAGGCAAATATGAGTTAGAAGTAGCCCAATACTAGAATACTAATATTAGTAACCATTTACATTTTTTATTGCCTGACATCACCCAGTATTATTCTTTGTTTTCTTGAAATTGTGCTTTTCCAGAGAGATTTTGTGATGCCTTTATTTTTATTTCATTGTTTACAACTCTTTCTCCTCCTGTTCCAACTACAGTCATTCATTCACTCTCATACATGTGTCTTAGCAGTAGAAATACCACCTTACATCTCATTTTATTCCTAGAAAAATTCCTTTATACAATCTCTGACAACTTCAGTGAAACCTACCCTTGATCACACTTATAAAAGCCAGAGAGCAGCTGAAAATTTCCCCCTTCAGATATAACCAATAGAGAGCTTTGAGCGAGTTGCAAGGAATTATAAACTTGATGACACTGACAAATGCTAGTCTTTTTTCTTCTGACAGTGTAGACCTCCTTTTAGTCTCATTTCTGCTTCTTTACTGCCTCTTTCCTCCTGTGTAAAATACTCTTTGAGTTTCAAGACAGGAAAATGTCAAGTCCAGTTGGAGATTAACCCTCGTCTCAATATCAGTTCTATCAGCTACTCTCCATCACTGAGAATTGTATGAGTAGGAAGAGTACGCCTGATGCTCAGACTTTACCCGGAGTTTCATCACTAGACAACCTGTTATATTATAAACTATAAGGTGTGTACACTGGTATGTTCAGATCAGCTGCAGTGAGTCAAATTGAGATGACCGCACTGTCTCTCTTATGCATATTGTAAGAGAAAAAACAAGTGGAAGGACTTATGAAATACTTGATAATCCTTCATGATCCTTTCTTTCATTACTTTGTTAGGTAATAACTTCTGGGGGAGTGGCCTACCACGACCAGCCTTGGCATAAAGAGTGTTTTGTGTGTGCTGGATGTAAAATTCAGCTGTCTGGGCAAAGGTTTGTTTCCAGAGATGAGTATCCATACTGTGTAGACTGTTTCAGCAAGTTTTATGCTAAGAAGTGTGCTGCTTGCAAGAAACCTATTACAGGTAAGTGCTATCTTTTAGAAAGGTCCAGATACTGTGGAGTCATAGTTTCCTCTGAAATCAGATGTTTAGTTTAAAGAACAGCATTAAAAAATATTACGTCATAATTAAAGACTGAGGGAGTCAGGTACTGCAGAGGCCTCACCCCATGCAATGTAATGTCTTACTCAGAAATACTGATCATGTGTTCTCTGACTACTGAGTTCTTTCATATGCCAAACATTCTTCAATTTACCCTTTTCTGCACTCAAAATCATCCCCAATAATGCATTCTTTTGATTTCAAAAAAGATTCCTCCTGAGACAATGCATACACACAATTCCCTTATGGCTGTAATTGGTTTAGCTTTGTTTTTAAATATAAATGTAATAAAATTGAACGTGAATTAACTGCCAGCTGATAAGGCACAGCTGTTATGTTGGAGAGCTTGCCAAGCAACAAAGATTTATTGCATGCATCCCTGTGTCCCTAAATGATTTGTAATTAGACATACAGGTCAGTAGTCCATGGTAGCTGAAATTATCTGAGACCATTGGCTGCTGTTCTGCATTATGATTCTATTATGTGGGAAGTCAAATCTTGAAAAGTACTGCCTGACTGATACAGGTGCATGTTGCATATGCAAATGCATAAAGAAAATCATGAATACCCAACCAAATAGGGATGATTTTGTTCTCCTTCCTCTGGGGGAAAAAAAAAAAAAAAAAAAAAAAAAAAAAAAAAGCACAATTGTTTTATTTCATTTCAAATACTCATCATAGGAATTTAGTGATCTGATAATTTCTGAAATACATTAAGATACTTAGTGGCAAAGGCTAAATTTCAGTGTCATATAGGAATGTGTATGTCTTTGCATTGCAGATAATTTTCATGACAGTTTTTGGGAAGGTTTGTAAACCTGAAGGGACATTCTGGTAAACCCATTCTGTTTAGAATGCATAACAGGGTATGAAACCAAGCAAGTAACATGTAGCTTTACATAAATTAATTGTCATTATCTTTTATGTTTTGTATCACTACCTTACAGTGTTTTAGTTGGTTCTTTTTTTTTTTCTATTCAACTAACAAACAGCACTTCAGACTATGGTTCATTTATATGAACAACATGATCACATTTCAGGAAACAGTTATGTTTCTGAACTACGTCCAGAAATGCTGAATTTACTTCCTCTCATAATCTCTTTCAGCTCTTGGAGGTGCCAAATTTGTCTCATTTGAAGAGCGTCAGTGGCATGAAGAATGCTTTAAGTGTGCAAGATGCTCAGCCTCACTGGTGGGCCAAGGATTCCTCACCAAGCAGGATGTGGTCCTTTGCCATGAATGTGGTTCTTTGTAGTTCTGTGGAGAGCTATAAAGATGCATTATTCTCACTGTATAACCATGTATTTTGTTACTCTGCAGTAAGAAAATCATCTAAAAGGTGTATCGCTTATTAAGTAATTCAAGTGACTTTCCAACAGCAGTTTAATTCCATCACGGTTCTGAACTGCTTGTTATAAAAACAAATAAATAATCAGCCACACACTGCCTCAGAAAACAGTGCAGAAAAGATTAGTATATATTTTAAATGTAACTGCAGTATGTTTCTCTTTGTAACACACTGCACTCTGCTGTTAGAAACTTTATCTTTCATTTCCCATGAACCAAGGAGATGTATAGAAAATCTATGTAACATATGTCTACTTATGAGGCATTAGCATTGCAAGTGAGGAGAAGGTACGTGTACACAAAGAGACACCAAGTCAGGGAAATCCATTCCAGGGCCAGAGAAAGAGATAAAAGGTCTTTTTCCTCTCTTTATTGGTATTGTTGAGAGTTCTCATCAGAAAAATAGAATTTCCAATAACTTTATTCATCCAAAAAAACTAAACGATAGGTCCTTTCCCACAAGTGGTTAATTGCACTTTATTTTTCAGGCATAAATGTTTTAGAACACAAACAAACTCTTTTTTATTTTTTTTTTTAACCTACTGTAAGAGGTACCAATTGCCTGAGGTTGGACAGTGGTAATGTATAGTTTCCAGTATTAAAAATGATTTAAAACTCTGTCTCCATTATCTTCTCTAGGTCTTCAAGTGCACTCTTAAAATATAGTTTCTCTTATTTGAGGCAAGAGCCAACACACTGTTGTTCCTTTAAACTTACATTTTTCCTCCCTTCAACAGTCATTTGCCATCAATTAAAATACTGATAATGGCTTTACCATTTCTGCACTACAGTCTTTTATTCACAGTCTACTCCTTTTCTTGTAAATGTCTGCTGTCTGTAGCAGGCTATCAGCTGTTCAGAGCCAATACCCATTCATTCTGCCATGTGCCAACATGCATTTGCCAATATTATGTCAAGAATTTGTAACATTGCCATCTCAAGGTAGGCAGTGCTCACATGTAGTACAAAGCATTAGTTTCTCTTTCCTCAGCTCAAGCTATATGCACACTGTATGTTACAATGGCCTGACTCATGCTGCAGTACCTCTCCCAGGCCGTGGTGTATGGTACCATGATTCTGAGCCTATTAGAAGTGCTTTATTCCTCATCTCATTATTCTCTGTCTGAAAATCATTCTCTCGACTCTGATGTTGAATGCTTACAGTTATTTGGCTGACTTGAGAGTGCTTTATTCATACTGAATTATGTAGATGCTGCTTCAGGTAGAAAAAAATAGAAAAAAAGTAGTTGTAAGCATAGGTAGGGCAGAGTTGTATAGCAGTGGCATAAAATCAACAGGTGCATAGCAATCTGTTTCCCAATCAATAAAGTATTAATCTTCTGCTATATGTGGTATTCATTTTATTTTTTTTTCAGTTTCATCTTTCCTGACTGCTTTTATTGGAGTGTGGAATTGGTTTAGTTTCTGTCTTTTCACTTAAACGTAGCTGCTTCCTTCTGTGTTTCCACACTGCACATGGCTGAAACAGGTTCTTGGTAATATTTGGATTCCCATAAATAGAAATAGGTTTCACTGCCTTAAATAAATATAAAGGAGGAGTGGAGAGGGACAGAGGGAGAACCACATGCGCGCACATATTTATGGAGGTCCACAGGTATTTACAATGCTCTAAAAATGTGCACTGAATTAATAGAAATTAGCCCATTAATAAATGTTAATGGCCTTAAATTTTTAAATGAAAATGATTAATCACCAAATGCAGTCTGTGGGGCTCATCTATTACTTTTGTTGCGTGAAATAACATTCAACAAACTGCAAGAATGTGGTTCAGGCCCTTTATTCAGTCTTGTCAAGTAACATTCTAGCTTAATCACAAAATGACACAAGAATTATCAGGCAGAGCCTTAAGGCACAGTGTAGGCACAGATCAGACAAAGTGATCACGATAATCCCAATCTTCTATCCCTAACATTTAGGAAAATCAAATTCTGCTCTGACTCACCAACTAATTATATTTTTAGAATTAGTACCAGAAGAATTATGTATTTCTCCTGCAATAAATATACCACAGTCAATCCTGAAACTGAGCATTTTCACTTCGGAGCAGTAATAAGAAATTAATGTGATTACTATAAATAGTTGGAATAAAAGTTACATTAGATTGATATTTCCTAGTCATTCTGTCACCAGTTACTGAGATCTGAACATAAATGCAGTAATATTCTGCACAATCTGGGTAACTTATGCTCATGATAAATGAAATCCAATTGGAATAAAGGCCAGAAAAGGCTACAAGAATAAACTGCATGTATCTGTGCAGATAATGGAGGAGATAAGAAAGTGGCTCAAAGACAAGAGACTACAGTGATTCATGAAAACAGAATAAAGCACATATTTCATGACCAGAAAGTGAGAGTTACAAGGCTGATGCATTATAATGGCGACTCTTCCAGGACATCCAGGTACCAAAGTGGGGAAAAGTTATGATTTTATCAGTATTTTAAATAGCATGCATGATTGCCTGGGATACCAAAGCACTGGCAAAGTGAACCAGATGGTCAGCACGATTAATTGTAACTAACATTTGATTTATTGCAGCAAGAATGCAATAAGTGGAAGATAAGAATCTACAGATAATGGGAGGAGTGCAGGTCACCTGGGAGGTGACCTGGGGAGAGGGTACTTGGGACATCCCATGGGACAGGGTACTTGAAGGTAAAGGGGCCCGAGATAGTTGGTTAGCATTCAAGGGCTGCTGCTTCCAAGCTCATGATCAGAGCATCCCAAACAGGTAGCAGGTCAAGAAAGGGAGTCAGGAAACCTGTGTGGATAAAGAGGGAACTGCTGGGCTAACTTGAGTCGAAGAGGAGAGTCTACAGATCACGGAAGGAGGGCTGGCCACCTGGGAGGAATATAAGACTGTTGTCAGAGGACGAAGGGAGGCAACTAGGAAAGCTAAGGCCTCCTTAGAGTTTAACCTGGCAAGAGCGGGCAAGGACAACAGAAAGGGCTTCTTCAAGTACACTGCAGAAAAACTAACAGCAGGGGCAGTGTAGGCCCACTGATGAATGAGGTGGGTGCCCTGGTAACAGAAGATACAGAGAAGGCGGAGTTACTAAATGCCTTCACTGTCTCTGTCTGTAGTGCTGGAGGCTGTCCTGAGGAGCCCAGATCTGCATTGCTCAGACAAAAGCAATTACACCAGTGCCTGGAATGCTACCTTATGAGAATCCTGAAGTTGTGGGGGCACTGACCTTGACTGCCATGCCCCCGCCCCCCAACTGCTCTCTTGCTTACCCTGCTCACAGTGGTGGGGTGAACGATATGATGGAACAACTCAGATAAGGAGGGGGAGGTTACACACCAGGTACAACTCTGCACAAAGCAGTTTCAGTTTGAAGAGGATTCATTTAATTACCCATTGAAAAGAACTGGGATGGTGAGAACTAAAAGCAAACTCCAACCGCTTTCCCATTCTAACTTGAGCCTAACTCAGGTGTTTGAAGCAAGGATGGCAGCAGCGCATCTCAAGGATGCTCCCCAAACTGGGACACGTGTTCACTTGTTGTCAAAGCTCCAATTTTATGTATTTTTTATTATACTCAAGTTATGTCCATAACTCCCCCCATCCCCATGCTGGGGGCTACTCTACTTCCATGTGGGCTGTGACCTCACAGAGTTATCCCCACCCGCTGGATTATGATCTCATGGCTCTGCTCATGTCATCCAGCAGTCAGCACTTTGCTTCTGCCAGTGCGGTCGTGACCAGCTTTGAGCGATGGTTGTCGACAGCGTTCTCCTTATCCCCAGCCTCCTGCTCCTGGTGGCTGGGGTGTCTCTGCTCACCGTTTCCTGGCGCCGACAGGTAGGGAAATTTGAGGATGGGAGTCACTTGAGGCTAGGTGACTGAGGGCTTTGGGGTGGGGGTGAGGGCTGCCCCGCAAGTCCTTTCACTGTGCCACGTTCATGTGCCCGTAGGGTTCTGACCGGCGCCAGCAATGGTGGACATGGTGGCTGCAAGTGGTGGCATCGAAGTCAGGTGAGTCCCCTGAGGGTCAGCCTGGCACGTTCCCAGGCTGGGCCAGCCCCCTGGGAGAAGCCAAGCTTCGTACCAGCCTCTGTCATGTAGCAGCCAGGCTGGGTGGGCCTGGAAGATCCCTGGTGCCCCCCTACCCTACTGTGGCTCATGCCCGCTCCCTGTTTTACAGGTGCTGAGAGGCAGGCAGGCAGGCACAGGAGCCCCCTGTGCAGGCCACGTTGCTCCCAGCAGCAAGCATCGCCACGGCAGGGCAGTCCCATCCTGCCCCATCTCATCCAGCCAGGAAAGATCCGGCCTTTCTTGCTGCGCAGTCGGTGCCCCTCTCTGCACACGGACTCTGCCACTGGTACCACGAGCTCTGCGGGGAAACCCGGCAGGCTTCCCAGACAGGACCAGCGCCCGCAGATTCTGGTGGCACGCGGGACCCCCGGGACGCTCAGTCAGCGTCCTAGGCTAGGCGGTGGAGTTGAAGACCTGCCACCTGAGATCTCCAACTTCCACCAGTGAAAGGGAAGGTCTTCCAGGTGGGCCTCGTTCAAACAGAGGAGAGAAAACGCTGGCGGGACTACGAGACCAAGAGGCGTTTTTGGCGTATGCTCTCCCCAGCACTTCCCAAAGTGCACAAGAAAGCAGGAGCAACAGCAAGACCATCCCGAGGACCAGCTCTGAGCCTGGAGCAAAAAGCAGATGGCAAAACTGAAACCCGCCAGCCTTTCAACTCTGGCTTCCGTGAGAAGAGGAGCACAGAGAAATCGGACTTGCTCGCTATGGAAAGGCTGTACCGGCAGCTCCTGGTGTCCCTAAAACGATCCAAGACTAACAACGATTGCTACAAATCAGGCAGCGGAACTGAAGAGCAACCACCTGACAGCTCTTCCTGCATGCTGCCACCAATGAAAGGGACAAACGAGCATGAGGACATCCTTCAAACAGAGGAGGGGAAATGCTGGTGGAAGAGCAAGACCAAGTGGTCTTCTGAGTACTGCATTGCCTCCCCAGCACTTCCCAGAGTCTAGATGGAAGCTGGAGAAGCTGCAGGACCAACACCAGGACCAGCTTCAAGCCTGCAGAAAAGGAGATAGCAGTACTGAAACCTGCCAGCACCTAAACACTGCTGTCACTGTTATGGATTTATTGTTAACATACCAAGCGAGAACTGAATCTCAGCCCTAAGATCATCGTTTGCATCATACCATTTCAGACTGAGATCTTTCAGATTTTTAAAAAAGATAATTTAATAAAAGTCTCGCTACCCTTCAGAGAATTGTTATCCTTATTTATTTTAGCAATAAGAGCAAGCTCTTTCTGCAATGAGCATAGAATCGTAGAATCATAGAATCATAGAATCACCAAGGTTGGAAAAGACCTAAAAGATCACCCAGTCCAACCGTTCACCTATTCCCAATAGCTCCTACTAAACCATGTCCCTCAACACAACATCCAGCCTTTCCTTGAACACCCCTAGGGTAGGTGACTCCACCACCTCCCTGGGCAGTCCGTTCCAGTGCCTGACCACCCTTTCTGAAAAGTAATACTTCCTCATGTCCAGCCTGAATCTCCCCTGCCGTAGCTTGAAGCCATTCCCCCTGGTCCTATCACTAATGACACGAGAGAAGAGGCCGACCCCCAGCTCACTACAACCTCCCTTCAGGAAGTTATAGAGGGCAATGAGGTCTCCCTTGAGCCTCCTCTTCTCCAGGCTGAACATTCCCAGCTCCTTCAGCCTCTCCTCATATGGCCTGTGTTCCAGACCTCTCACCAGCTTTGTTGCCCTCCTTTGAACACGTTCCAGGGCCTCAATATCTTTCTTGCAGTGAGGGGCCCAAAACTGGACACAGTACTCGAGGTGCGGCCTCACCAGTGCTGAATACAAGGGAACAATCACCTCTCTGCTCCTGCTTGCAACACTGTTTCTGATGCAAGCCAGGATGCCATTGGCCTTCTTGGCCACCTGGGCACACTGTCGGCTCATATTCAGCCGAGCATCAATCAATACCCCCAGGTCCATTTCCTCTACGCAGTCCTCCAGCCACACCGCCCCAAGCCTGTAGCGTCGCCTGGGGTTGTTGTGGCCGAAGTGCAGGACCCGGCATTTGGCCTTGTTGAAACTCATCCCATTGGCTTCAGCCCAGCTCTCCAGCCTGTCCAGATCCCTCTGTAGGGCCTCGCTACCCCCAAAGCAGTTTCAGAGCATGTAAGACTGCGCTGGGGAAGGGATCTGAAGCAAAAAGGGCCGATGAAATGCTCCTCTGGGGGCTTCTTGAAGCCAGCCAGCAAAAGTGCTTTGCCTGTGTCAGGGGGCTGCCAGCTTGTGGTCAGGCTGCCAAGCTCGCAAGGGCGCAGCTG